ACCTTGTCCAATCACTGTCAATGAGGGTTGGTCAAGAGTTTACGGACAATGGTTTTTTTGACAGAAAATAGCCCGATTTGCAGAGGTTTATCAGGTCCAGGATGAGATTTCCATAGTGATTTGAACCTGGGTCTCCAACATGTCAGGAGACTGCCCTAATCAATGGGCTATATCAGGAATTCAAACCTGGGTGTTCTATATCCCAGATGAATGTTCTAATCACGGAACTAGAGCGCCAGTCTCTCTCTCTCTCCTCATTTTGTTGGAGCTGCTCAACTTTGTATAAATAATTAAATATTCATTAGCCAGACAAGGAAAGATACTGATGGAAACAGAGATTTGAACCTAGGTGCCCTATTGTAGGGACACTTACCTACCACTGGGCTCCTAGCTATGCTGAGCACTCTCTCTCTCTCTTTTTTTTTTTTTGAGAAGGCATTTCAAAAGATCTTGTTTTCTTTCTGCATTGAAATGAAAACAAAATTCTGAAACCTCAGTTTTTTAAGAAACAGTTCTTGTTTTCCAGTCAGATCTATTGAAAATATTTTAATTCAATGTAAACAATACAAAAACATTTGGAAATGTATGAGAATGGCATGGTATGGCATTCTATGAGCAACTTGGTGCTGAGTCACTTTCCTGATCTCAGTTACTCACAAGCAAGTGAAACAATGCCCTGTAGAACATTAACAAGACAACTGACTAGAACTGATATTTGGAGCACAGGTCAATTCTGAAAAACGCACATGTTTTGGCAGCAGGTTTCTAAGAAACATGTATTCAGATGACTGGAATGGCGGGCGGGTATAGAGCAAAATACACTTCTCAATGCATTTGCGATATATGTCATGAATTACTCAACAGTGAATTGGGTAAACATAAATGTCAGTATGTTTAAATATTTAAATGTTAAAGGACCTGCTCTTCCCTTCCTGTTTTAGGTTCAGAGGGAATGAAAATAACCAAAAGCCACGTACATGTCCTAAAATCTGTTAGAAGGGAAGAACCACCAATATGGCACATTGTCCCCTCCTTCCGGAGGGTGAAAAACTCCACATTACTGTGCATAGCAGGTCTAGAGCACTGAGAATCTACACTATGCTCCAGTGGAAGCATGAAGGGGGACTACAAACTAGATAGTTACTCAAAAGTTTCAAGAATATGAAAGTAATCTTCTTTAAAAGAAATCAGCTGTCTGGTGAGACCATGCTCTAGACCTACACAGTAAGGGTAAGTCATGTGAATTTGACCAATTCACACAATAAAGTCTAAATTTTTGATAAAAAATTATGGAGGTTCGGGTGGGCCAAACCTGAGCAGTACTGTGACCTGGTGGTCAAGGTCACAATGACTGGAGCAGGGAGCCCGGCACAGCCCAATGGGGGACAAGAGCCACCGCTATGCGGAGAGTCGCAGACACACAAAAAAGTCACAGACAAGACAATAACGCTATCGGTGACTTTCATGCTATGAGAAACTTTGCAACCTTACTGAGAACCAGGTTAAAACAAGACAACCACAAGAAATGGAACTGACTTTGCAAAGAACAGTGGTTATTAGCAGGAGTAGTGAAAATGATGCTTCCTAAATTAGTGTCAAATTGAAGTGTTAAAGCAGTAAAACTGAAGAGTATCTAATTAAAAATGCACACTGACGCACAAACAGAATAAAAGGGTGGGATCAAATTTGATTTCTACAAATGTGGAGGTAATTTAAACACAAAAGTTGTCCAAGCTCAAGGATAGCCATGTCAATCATACAATAAGAGCACATGGTCCGCAGACGTGAGTTATTCTCTTCACAAAGTAGTGCAAACCAAAATACATTCATAGACACAGAACTGGAGGACCAAGTTCTGATAATGAAGAAACAGAAAGAGCTTTGTTGGGTTCTTTTATAATTCACAAAGCAAGTTTCCATAACAGATTATTTTCAGCACAACAAACCAAACAAACAAAAAGTGAATTTCAAAAAGCATATAATGGAGCCCAGTACAATCATATCAAGCAAACAGAAAATGGTCGTGACTACCCCAATGTTAAAAAGTAGTACGTTTGTTTCATCCTGAAGTCACAGAAGGAGCCCATGTGGCAAAGCTACGCTATCATTTCTGTATAAGGAAAGATGCCAGTCAATAGATTCTGAACTAGAGGTACAATATCGCATCGTGCTCGCCATCATTCAGCAATGCCATGAATAAATGCTCACAGGAATGATTGCTGAATCTGTCAGCATTATTTCATGAAGATTCCCATGTCATGCTAAGAAATCCCCTTGGAGCAAAAAAGGGGCATACACAGGCAGGCAATGACAACATAGCAGAGATGATACACTAAAAGGTAATGAATTCACAGAACTTCTTCATAGGAAGACAGCCCTGGAGTCTGATTCATCTTTATCAGTTAAGAAACAATAATTAATATTCCATCATGAAAAACCTGCCATTCCAGACCAGCCATTGCTTGCGTAAAATAATTCTTCTAAACACAAATAAGACCCCTTTTCCATCTCTTAGCTCTATAGCATTTGTGTGAAACCTTAACTCAGAGCTGGACCATTTCTCCGGAGCCATTTTTATCCCTCATATCCTTCACAACCAGAGAGGCTTATGTTTGTTCTTAGAACAATCCAGAGAAAGGTTAGGCAGAAAGGACCCACCTAATTTTGTTCCTGCTTGGCTCCAATTCACAGAAAAAACAACTATAGGAGCCAGCAAAAAGAACAGGAGGACTTGTGGCACCTTAGAGACTAACAAATTTATTAGAGCATAAGCTTTCGTGGGCTACAGCCCACTTCATCGGCTGCATAAAATGGAATATATAGTAAGAAGATATATATATACATACAGAGAAGGTGGAAGTTGCCATACAAACTGTAAGAGGCTAATTAATTAAGATGAGCTATTATCAGCAGGAGAAGAAAACTTTTGTAGTGATAATCAAGATGGCCCATTTAGACAGTAGACAAGAAGGTGTGAGGATATTTAACTTAGGGAAATAGATTCAAAATGTGTAGTGACCCAGCCACTCCCAGTCTCTATTCAAACCCAAGTTAATGGTATCTAGTTTGCATATTAATTCAAACTCAGCAGTTTCTCATTGGAGTCTGTTTTTGAAGCTTTTCTGAAGCCAGAAGTGGAGCCAGAGGACCACCTAGAAGCAGGATGCAAGAAAGCCAAGGAATTGTATTCCTTGGTGAAGGGAATAGGACTGTGGAGCTTCGAACTCCCATTTTGAAGCGCTTTCCTGTTTGTGAGGTCTGTGTGGAAGTTAATTCCAAGGTAAATCAATTTCTCTGTAGGAGCCAGAAAACTTGCCAAGGTTCACAATCAGACCTAGGGTCAGGAAAAGATTTAAAGTTAGAAACAGGAGCATCAGTATTCCTAAGTGAGAACTGCCCCAGACTATCCAGTGAATAACTGTGATTGCCTGCTTCCAGAGGTGAACTCCTATAACTGCTGCAATGAGTTTTGTAAAAACTCTGGGGGTTGAAGAAACGGGGGAAGACAGCATAGTACTGGCAATACAGAGTTGAAGGAAGAAACCAAACAAGAGTTACTGTGGAGCAATCAGCATATGCAGATAAGCGTCGTGTAGAACTATGGATGCTAAGTAATAGCCTGTACTTATAGCTAGAATGACTAAGCAGGTCAGCTCCAGTTTGATCTGCAGGGGACTGACAAACTGTAACTAGAGTTCAGAGTAACAGCCATGTTAGTCTGTATTCGCAAAAAGAAAAAGGAGTACTAAGGTGCCACAAGTACTCCTTTTCTTTTTGTAACTAGAGTGAATAGGAAATGCCTAATGAGTGGAGGAAGAGCTCATTAGTCCTGATCTTCAAGCCTAAAGGAGATGTGCAAGAACGTAGTAATTACTGACCTATCAAGTTACTGAGTCACACGATGAAATGGCTGGAAAGAATTATTGAGAAAACACTTCAGGAGGAGCTGGACCTTCAAGCAAGCAATAACAAATTCGGGTTTATGCCAGGAAGCTCAGCACTGGATGCAATGTTTGCATGCTGAATATTGAAGGAGAAATACAAGGAATTGTATTTAGTGCCTGTGGATTTAGAGAAGGCTGCTAGCAGCTTGACTGTGAGGCTCAGTCCCAGCTGCTTGGAGCCCAAGCAGCTTCTCTGCAGGAGGCTGCAGCACCCAACTGCCCACCTGCTTGGTCAGCCACCCTAGTCTGAGCTGAGCTGCTCCCTTTTGAACTCTCCCTCCACTGAAAGCATGCCCAGCAGGAGCGAAGGGGCGTGGCTTCCTGTATCCAGAACATCTCCTTAACCCTCACCTCACCAGTGCAGGGTTTGTACATCCATCCCATCATAGGAGGACAGAGCTAAAAAAAAAAGAAGTAGGTAGGCAAACAGCAAAAGTTGGAGGAAGACTATTAAACGATGAATCTTAGCCAAAAAATTCAAAAAGAAAATTCAATTGGTATTGATTGCTTAGCTGGTAGACCCGGATATCCAGTTGCAGAGCTGGTTAGGACTGTGCCCACTGCTAAACTGGTGAAGCAATTCTATTCTCTTAAGTAACGACTAATTTATAGGGTACTTCAATTCATAGCAGAGCTATTGGGACAGAATTATTCACTTTTATATCAAAAGTCCTAAAGTTCAGTGTCCAAATTCCATCCAGGGCATCCTCCATTTCCACCAAATTACAACTCAGAGCTAATTCTCAATTTATATTAAAGACAAAATAAGTTATGATCAACAGAATCCTATTTAGAATTTAAGCCTATACTAAATTGCTTCCCCTCCCCCAATCAGTGAGTACTCAGGAAAAAAAAGTTCCTCATCAAGAAGACCACCTCATTTGATTGGACTGGACATAACTGTTGGTTCAAATATTTAATCCAACCCTTTCAAACTTTGTACAACATCCGAAATAGACTTTAGTTAACTGAAAACCTTGGAAGTAAAATTTAACTTGAATCACATGGTGCCAGCTCACTACTGGTGCGACAGCATAATTCAAATAAGGACGCCCAGAGCACACTTCATCCCTTTGACAGGAAAGAGTCCATGATCAACTGCAGCCAGCCCTTTTGTAGAAGATGGCTAACTGTCTCTCAGACCTGGTGAGTACCTGGTAATTTAATCTGGGGGCTCTATTTAGTAGTAGCAGACCACAAAAATAGAATACTAGAAAAATAGGAAAGATTCAACGTCTTTAGACTCTTCCGGTTTTGTTCTGTACTAGTAAAGCACAAAGCACAAGGGAGTCCTGGACCGTGACGGGGGCTGTTACTTGCTACCACAATACAAATCATCATCTTGTTTCCCTGGACCACCGCTGAAATCTGTGGCCTCTTTTCATCATATCATACTTAAAGTGACTGTTTCTGAGAGTTTGTTTTTCCAAACGGATGCCATTAGTAGACTAATTATCACTTTCTTCTGACCATCCAAATGGCTCCTAAACTGCTCCAGTTTATGAGGAAAAAAGATTTAGGAGTCTCTTGTTTCCTGTGATGGCAGAGATAAGTCACCTTGAAAAGATGGAGGAGCTATCCTATCTATGTAGGGGTGAAATCCTGGCTTTATTAAAGTCAATGACAAAACTCCCATTGATTTCACTAGGGCAAGAATTTCACCCTAAGTCCTTACCTTAGTATCTGTTGTGTCCAGGTGCCGCCAAAGAGGCAAAATGATCATCTTTCTTTCTTTCCTGCCTGCTATTGAAAGATAGGACTAGACATCAACAAGATGAAATTCAATAAAGGCAAGTGCAAAGTACTACACCTAGGAAAGAAAAATCAAATGCACAAAACCAAAATGGGGAATCGCTGGCTAGGTGGTAGTACTGCAGAAGAGGATCTGGGGGTTTATAGTGGATCACAAACTGAGTATGAGCCAACATGTCACAGCTGTGAAAAAGGCTGTCATAAATATAAAGGGAAGGGTAAACCCCTTTAAAATCCCTCCTGGCCAGAGGAAAACTCCTCTCACCTGTAAAGGGTTAAGAAGCAAAAGGTAACCTCGCTGGCACCTAACCAAAATGACCAATGAGGAGACAAGATACTTTCAAAAGCTGGGAGGAGGGAGAGAAACAAAGGGTCTGTGTCTGTATATATGCTGCTTTTGTCGGGGATAGACCAGGAATGGAGTCTTAGAACTTTTAGTAAGTAATCTAGCTAGGTATGTGTTAGATTATGATTTCTTTAAATGGCTGAGAAAAGAATTGTGCTGAATAGAATAACTATTTCTGTCTGTGTATCTTTTTTGTAACTTAGGGTTTTGCCTCGAGGGATTCTCTATGTTTTGAATCTAATTACCCTGTAAGGTATCTACCATCCTGATTTTACAGAGGGGATTTCTTTACTTCTATTTACTCCTATTTCTATTAAAAAAAGAATTCTTGTAAGAAAACAATGCTTTGTCATTGTTCTCAGATCCAAGGGTTTGGGTCTGTGGTCACCTATGCAAATTGGTGAGGCTTTTTATCCAACATTTCCCAGGAAAGGGGGGGGGCTGCAAGTGTTGGGAGGATTGTTCATTGTTCTTAAGATCCAAGGGTCTGGGTCTGTAGTCACCTAGGCAAATTGGTGAGGCTTTTTACCAAACCTTGTCCAGGAAGTGGGGTGCAAGGTTTTGGGAAGTATTTGGGGGGAAAGACGTTTCCAAACAGCTCTTCCCCAGTAACCAGTATTTGTTTGGTGGTGGTAGCGGCCAATCCAAGGACAAAGGGTGGAATATTTTGTACCTTGGGGAAGTTTTGACCTAAGCTGGTAAAGATAAGCTTAGGAGGTTTTCATGCAGGTCCCCACATCTGTACCCTAGCGTTCAGAGTGGGGGAGGAACTTTGACAGGCTCATATCATTCTGGCGTGTATTAACAGGAGCATTGTATACAAGATGTAGGAGGTAACTGTCCCACACCGTTCAGAACTGATGAAGCCCCAGCTGGAGTAATGTGTCCTGTTTTGGGTGCCACACTTTAAGAAAGATGTGAACAAACCGGAGGTAGTCCAGAGGAGAGGAACAAAATGATAAAAGGTTTAGATTGCCTGACCTCTGAGAAAAGGTTGAAAAAACTGGGTACTTTGTGTCTTGAAAAAGATGAATGAGTGGCGGCCCTATAGTCTTCAAATATGTTCAATTCTCTTATAAAGAGGATGGTGGATCATTTGCTCTCCATATCCACTGAAAGTAGGAACAGAAGTAATGGGCTTACTCTAGGAAATTAGGTACTGAAATAGGCTTCCGAGAGAGGTTGTGGAATCCCCATCATTGGAAGGTTTAGGAACAGGTTAGATAAATACCTGTCAGGAATGGCTTGGGTGAAGAGGTGCGTTTTCAGTTTATCTATGAATGTGATGAGGTTAGAAGCCTCTCCTATTTCGTCTAGTAACAAGTCCAATGGTCTTGCTTTGGTTCTCATGAAGGTTTTAGCTCCTACAGACACAAGTCTCCCCATACTGGTCAACAGTTTTATTCCAGTGGAACACAGCTGCTGTAGAAAGCCAGTCATACTAGGTGAAATTACCTTTAACGTAGCCAGGACCAGTTCCATGGGAGTTTGAACTAGAGTGGGCATTCAATGTGGAGCCAGTGCAGAAAGCACCATATTGAGTGGATGCATTTCTAATAACTTGTGGGAGGTTTTATTTTTAAAAAATAGAGACCCGTCCCCAGGAATGACCAGACTAGTGGAAGCCTCCTTTCTCCCACACACCACATTGTCTGTCCTCACCCCTTCCATCTCTGCTCCTCTCTCCTTTGATCTATGCCGCCACCCCTTGTGTCCATACACCATTTCTCTGTGCTCCGCCCAGCCCCTACCATGTCTCACCTACACTCAGCGTAAGCACCAGTGACCAAGCCCTTGAGAACCCCTTGCCCTTCCCCCCTCCCCACACTGTGGGCAGCCCCTTTGGCACTGGCTCACCTTGCTATGCTGCTCCTTCTGCCTGGAGCTCACCGCCCTGTGCTAGGCAAAGCAAGGGGAAGGGCGGGGTGCGGATCAGAGGGAAGCACTGCAGGATCAGAGCCCACAGTCCCTCCCTCCCTCCTACCCTACAGGAAGAGTCAAAGCAGGGCTGAGCCCAGCACAGCTGGAGCCGGGGTCTACAGCCCCATGCTGGGCATGTAGCTGGAGCAGTGGAAAACCTTGCTCTGGCTGGCCTTGGCCTCAACACTCATCTACACCCACAGTGCTCTCCATCTCCAGCAGTCTCTCCCAGTGGTAGACCACACTGTGGAGCAGGCACCACTTCATGGCAGCAGACAGCCCAGCCAGAGCCTCGGCAGCAATGACACAGCTCCCCGGGTCCAGGTCCCCATCCTCCTCCTCTGAGCACTCGGCTGCCTCGGCCACTGATTCCTCTGGGCCAGCATGCACGCCTCGCTGGTCATCTCCCTCACAGCCACCTCCTCCACGTCCATGCTGATGAACTCATTGAAGTCCAGCTCACTCGTGATAATAACTTGTGTTGCTTGGGAGGTAGTCTGCTATGTTTTGAATTAGCGGGAGCTTTCTTAAGGCAAGGAGCTTCATTTCTAGTTATAGACCATTACCCTAGTGGAGCCTAAATATTGCAAATGAATAGATCACTGTAATCTCAGGTCTAAGTCTGATAGCATTTGGATAGGACTACACCTTGGGACCATTCAGAAGCTGAACCTATTACAGAGCACCACCACTTCTTTATTAAGTGGAGCTGCATGTTGGGAGCATATTAAACTAATTTAGACCAGAGCTCCGTAATCTCATCAGATTCCAGTAAACTTCCAGGTGGAATTCAAGGTGTTGGTTTTAATCTATGAAGTGCTTAATGCTCTAGGATCTGATTAGTTGAAGGATTACCTCTTTCCCCAGTATGCAATGGCAGACTTAAGATAAGCGAAGATGCTTCAGCTGGAACTCCTTCAATATAAAAATAAGGGAGCAGATGGCAGTGAGTGCTCTGAGAAGGATCCTTGGTCTTGGAACTCACACTCCAGAGACCAGATTTGTTAGCTTTTCAGGCATAAAGCAAAGGCCATATTTCTTCTCTTGCCTCTAGAACTGCTGAGGAATTTGTGGGCTGAGGTTGATATATTTAATTGGCAGTCCTCTGTTTATAGATTTTGTGATTGTTAATTTACAAAGTAAGTGCCCAGATTACTGTATGGGTGCCTCTAGTTCTACTTTAGAAATATGAAGAAATAAATTAAATCAAATAAGTAAGATTAGAAACTTTTTTCCAGCCAGGCAAGACAAAAATTGACTGATTTTGCCACTGTGGATCTAAACACTGACTAATGTAACAGTCTGAGGCAGATGCCTTTGATGGGTGTGGGATGATGAGGAGCATCACCACATTCTCATTTAAGTTCCGCTTCAGCTAGCTCCTCTACATCCAGGTACTGATCTCAGCTAGGCAATAAGGAACCTGGAAGATGGTGTAAGTTAGGTTTGACATGAAGGAGATGTAGAGCGAAACGTTATCTGCCTACTGTTCATACTCCTACCAACGCTGTTTCATTTGGCAGCCTGATCAATGTAGATTGAATCAACAGCTTTTGTTTAAATAGAGCCCTATATACTAGGCTAACTATAGATTCAACATTCGAAACACTTCTGTGCCAGGACATATATGTATGTTCCCCATGGAAAATGCTGATATATAATTATTATTATGGGATAGATTTGTTGATAAACCTGTAAGGTTAAAAGCCTGGCTATGCTTTGCAATACAGTACAAGACTTATTTTATATAGCATGTCTTACTAACTACAACCCAAAATGTTTTGAGTTAAACAGCAGCAGAAGGGGAACAACACGAAAATGTGCAGAGAAAAGGTGTGTACTACCAGGTAGGTCCCCTCAGAAGGAGGAAGGGACTAAACCCTAATGGCTGGAAAAGTAAAGCCCATTTACAAGGGTAAAACAGGAGAGCACAGAGGACTAGAAAAGAACAAAATGATGATGAGATCTATCGCCACTGATAATGGTGATAACCCCTTACTTTTCCTCTGCACATCTCAAAGGGCTTTAGAGCCAGTAGAGCTCAGAGAAAGAGAAGAATTTGGCTCTGGTAAAGAGCACATAGCTGTTTCCTCTTATTCTCCTCTAACAATGATGAGAGGAGAAAGTATCTTTCTATTATCATATTTAAAGTTTGGACTGGATCAGAAACGTGGGTGGATGGAGCAGGGAAGAGTTGGTTGTTTTTAAAATTCTGTCTTTGCAATACAGCTGAGGGGTAACTCTTTATGTTAAGTCTGGAAGAGAGAAAGTCTGGTTTTACTTTCAAGAGAGTTTGATTTGGAGAGGCCTTGAGGGTACAATACTTATGGTTTACTGTTCATAAACAAACTGCGGATTCAAGGAACCAGAACTCCATTCTACCTGGACTGATACCCTTTTTCCTGTCAGCTTGTCACACTAGCAGTCAGATCCATATAGCGAGAGACATCTCGCAGGCAACAATGGTTTAATTTCTGCTACCTTACTTCTAAGCAAGGATATGTAGATTATTGTATATTACAAAATTATTTTCCTTGCACTAGGAAGGATTTAACCTTAATCTGGTCCTGTGGTCAATTATTCTGCTTTTGGGGTGGGACTGTGGGCTTTTGGAAGAATGTTTATATCTGAAAGTATCTGTAGTGAATACATACTTTCAGAGCAAAGAGGTGAGTATGGCAGACAAGGATGCAAGACCATGAGGGAATCTAGATTTATGACAAGTTGATAGAGCATTGCTTTCTCTTTTCAGCTTCAGTATCGAGGATTGTTTCAAATGATCTTAGTGCTGGGAATTGGTGGAAGTTTCCCATATGGGTTCCATATTTCTGCAATCAGCTACCCTTCCCTGGTAAGCAGAGGCTCCCCGGAGTTTACATGGTGGAGGGGCCTGGGTTAAGGATACTCTCAAAACTTGCTGAGCATTTCAACAAACTCCATTACAATGTCTTCATTTTGATCTATAATGAAAAGTAAATATCCTGTAGGTAGAGCACCTTATCCCTAACAGGACAGTACTTTAAAAAACCAAAAAACAAAGCAAAACAAGAGAGATTGTTAACCCAATAGCATAAGGAATATCCTTTCTTGCAATCTAAAATGAGCACTTGTGGCACCTTAGAGACTAACCAATTTATTTGAGCATAAGCTTTCGTGAGCTACAGCTCACTTCATCGGATGCATACTGTGCATCCGATGAAGTGAGCTGTAGCTCACGAAAGCTTATGCTCAAATAAATTGGTTAGTCTCTAAGGTGCCACAAGTGCTCCTTTTCTTTTTGCGAATACAGACTAACACAGCTGTTACTCTGAAACCTCTAAAATGAGCGACACCCAAAATGAGTTTCCTACATTTCAGAACTGATTTACCAAAATGTTGGGAAGTATTTATGTGATTATAGGCTAAGCTTCAGGGGACTACCTGGTACAATCAATTTGTGTGCAAGCCTTTTGTCTTTAAAGACTTGGGTTTAAGTTCTCCCTTACGTAACAAGTGAAATCAAATGTGGAGATCTTATTGTAAAGCCACTACACCTTAAAACACAGTTTTGCAGTCTCTGCTTAAAGGTAAAAAACTTAAATCCTCTTTTAGAGAGGGGTTTAAAAATTGTTTTGGAAACAAAACTCGGTAACCATATTCATTTAGGACCGTGGTTCTCAAACTTTTGTACTGGTGACCCCTTTCACATAGCAAGCCTCTGAGTGCAACCTCCTCCTCCCCCCCCCACTATAAATTAAAAACACTTTTTATATATTTAACACCATTATAAATGCTGGAAGCAAAGCTTGGTTTGGATTGGAGGCTGACAGCTCGTGACTCCCCATGTAACAATCTCATCACCCCCTGAGGGGTCGAGAACCCCTGATTTAGGAGTCATCAGGAGACCAGCAGGAGGCCCAGTTATCACTAAAACTAAAAGGTGTTTATTTGGTGTAGCTCTGACAAACGTACACTTCCTCATAGCTCAAGTCCACAAACCTGCAGCTGTGTTGTGAATTTACGAGATAATTTGGTCAGCTTTATCAAGTCTCAGAGGATAAAGACTTTTCCCTTAGAATTAGGAGGTATCTAAAGTAAAAGCCTTCCCATAAGCCTGCTGAGGGGACTTTTTCCTATTGTTCCCAATGTGCTAACAGAAACCACCTCTTAACATTTCACAGCTAAAAAGGTGTGGCCACAACAGGCTCATTACTGATTCAAGAGTAGTGGGATAAGGGTTCCTGTCAGAAAGCAGTGGTGCGAGCTTCTTGTGTAGAGAAGTTAGCTTTTTTAAAGAGATCAGATCTCTACTACGGCAAGTTGTATAGTTTTCATTCACTCACAGAAATTTGCACAACAGGGTGAGAAGACTAAACTTTTGAATATGTAAATGCTTTTTCAAAACAAAATTACATCATTTTTAAAAAGTGGAAAAAATTTTTAAGAGTATCAATTTTTCATCTCTGTTAATGCACTTGAGTGAGCTGTATGAATGAGGGGGAAAATCTGCTGTAAATTAGGCTAATATCCCAGAAATATCAGAAAACCAAAGTAATCTCGTGCATTAGAGAAAAGAGTTTCCACTGGTGAAAAAGATCTAGTTGGAATTCCATCCCTTATCTGTAAGTTTAGCCAACCATGGCTGTGTACAGACACTACAGTCACCAGTGGGGAACGAATACCACTTCAACTAAAGCTCTGAGACGGCACAACACCACTGCGTACAGTCAGCAGTTAGTCCCTGGGGCCAGCTTGTAATAGGAGATATGATCACATGCCTACGGCAGTATGTTGCATGCACTACACTAGCTCAGTGTCAGTAATGACAGCCTCCAGGTGGGCCTGGGATCAACTAGCTAACCTCAGTTAAATCCCCTAACTGGCCAGATCGGCCTGACGGGCTGAGCGCTGTTGCCAGGCAGCTCCTAAACCTAGCGGCAGCACTGGGCTGTGGCAGCTGTTCAATGCACTTCCCCACAGCTGCAATCTCTCTTCTGTCTGCTTTGCTCCCCCCCAGCCCTGTCTCTGCCCTCCTCCTGGCTCCCAACTCCAGCTCCAGCACCTGGCTTGGCTCCTGGCTCCCTGCTATTAGACCTGACCACGCACATCCGTCATGAGATCAGTGTTGCCAGATCTTATGATTTTACCACAAATCTCATGATATTTGATCTTTCTTAAAGCCACAGCTCCAGCAATCAGATGATTACATTAAAATTTCAGCTTCCATTAAAAAAAAAGTATCTAGCCCTCCTGCCCTAAAGGCTCAAATACCAGAACAAAAATTAAAAGAATCCCAAATTATATTCAAAATCTCATGTTTTTTAAAACCAAGTTTCTGATTTGGGGGGAGCGGACTCATGATTTTTCAATAGTTGGGATTGGCAATACAGCTAACTCATCCTGAGTGCAAGGTCTACAACAGTTCAAGTCCCGTTTAGCAACAAACAATGGCCAAATATACAACAAAAAAATCAAAGACTAAACCCTGGACCTTCATTACTAAAACCACACACCTCTGATACTTGAACTAAAGGAACGCTCCTTCTGTTGTAATAGACTGTTCTGGTTTCTGAATCTAATCAATTAGGAGGAGATATGATAAACCATACTAAGCCAGTCTGTTACATCGGAGTTTCCCAAGCTTTCCTGAAATTTCTACATTTCAGAGATGTCTTATAAAAAGACTTGACAGGATTATAAAGAAAATAAACTCAAGGTGCATTTTCTAACTTTGAAAGTGTCTTGAACATCTAAACTTAAAAAAAGTTTAGTTGAAAATTTGGCAAAGTACACAAATAATTTGTTTTGACAGTGAAGATTACTTTAAAAAGAGGTCCAAGACTACAGCAATGGATCAAAGTTGAAGCACAGTAACAGAATAGTATGAGGAAAGTCCATAGTAATTATGCTCAAATAAATTGGTTAGTCTCTAAGGTGCCACAAGTCCTCCTTTTCTTTTTGCGAATACAGACTAACACAGCTGTTACTCTGAAACCAGTAATTATTTAAAGTCTCATTTGCTCTTTCAGCACATTAGGACATTTATCAATGAAACCTGGATAGAGCGATATGGCTATCCCCTCCATCCTGAGACCATCATGTTGCTGTGGTCCTTCATTGTGTCTGTTTATGGTATAGGAGGACTGCTAGGGAGCCTATATTGTGGCTACCTTACTACAAAATATAGAAAGTAAGTATTTATTTTCATAGCTTGATAAGGCATGTGGGGAAAAATGTACTAGCAAAGCACATACAGTCAACTATTCTTGTTCAATGTAGTCTGACCATATATACTTCTATTCAATTGCTTTAAATTGCTATCATAGCCACCCAGGGTAAGTGGTAACCAGTCTTTCATTCAGTGTATTTAAACAGTATGCTGATGGTGAAGTGTGGTCCCTTCTGAAGATGGGCTTACCAACACTCCATTTACTAGTGCCTTGTGGGGAAGTAACATGTGATGCAATTTCCTCACATCATCCTCCAGTACATAATTTCCAAGATCTACAAATCCAGAAACAGAAGCCATGCATATTCGTTCAAACACAGGTTTCCCGGGAACTGTTACAATCACTTGGACCAGCCTGAATTCCACTTTTGAGAGATGTAGCTTAAACACTCAAGGGTAAACCTGAAACATTAAAGTGCTTGCTTAAAAAAAGTCAGATTTGCAAAGTGTATTCATTCTGGAGTGAATGTTGTATTAAAGAATTATTAGTACCTATTCTAATGAAAAAGTGAAACTGAACAGAAAAGAAAGTTAACTTTACCCATAGTTCTGTATAAGAGACTGCTCCATTGTTAGTAATGTCCTCTATTAAAAGTCTGTCCCGAAGTAACTCCACAATAGATGGAGAAAGGATTCCTCATGCATCTGGTGTGTTCTCAGGATCTTGTGTGTAACACCAATATCCTTTGCAGAGAAATTGGCAAACAGATCTACTGGTGTGTTCCACTTAAAGATCTGCTCCGCCACCCTCTGATCCAGAGGCCCCTCATATGGGTCTCAACCATCTTAGCCTGACTGCAATTGTTCTTTCCTGCCAGGTAAATGCCCCCAAGAAGTTTCTTGTGGGACACTGCATAATCCCACACTTGAAGGCCTCCTGACACTAGAAACAAGATCCTGCTCCTCTCCACTTGTTTACGTCAACCTTGGTAGCCTAGCTGCCTGAATCAGAATCAACTTTTAGGTATAAGGTCTCTGTACGCTCTTAATGCATACAAGATCACATTCATCTCGAGAGCAGTTACGTGTAGCAACTGGTCTTGGAGATAAGAACAACTTTGAGTGAAAAGCTGCTCCACTTAGGCTCCTTTTCACAAGTGCATCCAGAGATATCAGATGAATCTGCAAGACCTTTCCAAGAATGCTGAACGTCTCTGGATAGTAATCCAGCCAGTGGGTTTCAGAAACCACTAGCCACCCAGATGCAAAAGTCTATGTGATTCAAGTCTGAGACATCAGGGTCCACTGAGGGGACATGCCATGGTCACCACTTACTGCAGCCATCCGGCCTAAAATTTACAATATAGTCTTTACTGAAGCCTCTCTTTGGTATATCCTTTCTGCCAGATCCACAAGAGCCTTGGATCCACTACTGTGGCAGGAATGCCTCATCATAAGTCGTGTCTACAGTTGGCTCCCACAGAGTCAAATTGTTTCTGTATAACAAGCTGGTACTTTGGATATTGCACCATGAATTCTAGTGACTTCAATACCCCAATGCTTGTACTCCTCAACATATTGTACTTGATCAACCTGTTGTTCGAGTACGACTACACATGAACTCCCATCCTAAAGAAATACTGACACATGCTAAGCATTTATAAATGCACATGCTGCCAAGGTACAGTTATGAAGTAAAAGTTCTTGGATTCTGAAAGCGAAGAATCATTTAATTTCTCCGGGAAATACCCAGTTTGGGTATCCATTAAAACATGCCACAAAGGAACAGTAATTGCTGTACCATACCTACAGTTAACATATTTAAGACGTTACATGGTGCTTGTATGTTGGATAAGTAACAGCAAATACATTAATCAAAAACAGTATAAGAGATACTCACTTCATATCACTCTCTCATCTTTTTACAGAAAGAAGTGTCAGATTGTCACTAACCTGATCATGCTAGTAGCTTCACTTTTCATGGCCTTCTGTAAAATGGCCAAGTCCTTTGAGATGATTCTGATTGGGCGCTTCCTTTATGGCATGGGAACAGGTATGACCTCTGTATACATCAAAAGGGAGTCTCCTTGGTGTCCCAGTATAGTCTCCTTTCATTATAATTCTTTTAGAATTATTTTATATTACCCAACAAGTATACTTAGCATGTCACAGAAGACACTGATATATAATAGCTGGTCAAAGGTGCAGGGGGTGGAAATGAGTAGTGGGAGGAGCTTGGGATAAGACAGTTAACATTTTCCTCAATTTAATGGCCATCTCTCTTCTTTCCTGTCCAAGGTTTCTCTCTCACTATACATCCTCAATATGTAGGAGAGATTTCACCCAAGAAGCTGCGTGGATTTTCAAACTCCACTCTCGCTGTTTTTCTGACACTAGGAAAAGTCTTAGGACAGATTTTTGGACTAAGGTAAAACAAAATCATCTACCACCTTTCTCTGCAGCAGCAGAAGCTGGTCTTAAGTCTTTTAAAAAAAAAAAGAAACCACCCTCTAAAATCTTCAATAAGTGCTCTCATCTCCAAAATTAAATGTTTTATCTTAAACCAGTAGACAGTATTTGACCAAATCTGAGAGTTCCATGTTTAAGACATTGGACACAGAAAAATACAAGTAATTAACCACAATCTGAATTTTTTTTCCTCTATAGCCTTGCTACCAAGTGGCTTACCTTAAAACTTCCTGAGGTTTATTTGAAATATCATGGTGAGATCTAGCACATGGGACCACATTTGAGATGTGTAGCATATTAGAAAGTTTTTCAGTTCAAAATTAGCATCACAATCTCATGAACTTCCTAAAGGTCACTGTGGGACCTAATGTATCATTAGAAAGTTTTCCAAAGTGCTGCTGAGTTTCACAAAATTTGCCAGACTGACTCAGTTATCCGGCTGCAATGCACTCACCACTAGAATTTGGCCCATTTGCTGTCTCTCTATTTATCATTCAGAAAAAGTTATTGAATGTTAATATAATGGTTTGATCATGACTGCACTTTTACATGTACTCTCCAGAGAGCTCTTAGGAAATGAATCGTTGTGGCCATTGTTGTTGGCTTCTACCGGACTCACAGCATTGATTCAGCTGATTATGCTCCCATTCTTCCCTGAGTCCCCATCCTACCTTCTGATACAGGAGGGTAATGAGGATGCCTTCATGAAAGGTAAAGTACTTACTCCACTCATTTCAGTAAATCTAATTTGTTGGAGTGTTAGCCATTGAAAGCAAAAAGAGTAGAGCCCAAGACTCCTACTACCTCAATAAAACCGCGCTCTTAATGTTCATTTTCATTAAATAAAATTTTTAAAAATGGTTACATTTGTCAACTCAATATTAGAGTGATATGACATTCTGACAGCCCCGCAGACAAAACTCTTCTAGTTATCTATAGAATAAGCACCATCTGGGCAACAAGAGTAGGCTTCCACACATTGTCCCGACAACATACACCAAATCATGATGTGATGAAAACAACTCTAAGGACAGACTAATTAAGTCTATGTGATTCAGACAGGCTAAAAGGATTTGTTATTAAAGAATGATGGAGATGAACTGATAGATTAAACTATTTAGTTTTTTCTCCTGCACAGCCATTAAGCAACTCTGGGGTGAAGGAGATCATCAAGCAGAGATTGATGACATACTGAAGGAAAAGGCTGCAACAAAAAGCACCAAAACCTTGCGTGTCCTGGAACTATTTAAAGAACGATCCTTGCGCTGGCAATTGTACTTTTTGGTCACCATCATGACCAGCTTGCAGCTTAGTGGCGTCAATGCAGTTGAGTGTTTTCCCTGTGTAAAAACTCAGAGTCATTGTTAGGTAGCATTAAAAAAAGGCCTAGTTATTTGTTGCACTATTATATTCATGACATATGTTATGCAGGAAGTCAGACTAGTCAGATCATAATAGTCCCTTCTGGTCTTAAAAATCTGAGAATCTTGGTCCTCTTCTTCCTGATCAATGGACCCCTGGTTGTTGCCATTACAATTCTGCTCTGACTTTTCTAGTATGGAATCCTGAATGCATTAGCAAGTTTGCAAATATAGATAATACCTCTCCATAAAGGTCTCTGGTGCCAGCTCCACCAAAGAGCCAGCATAGGCCACTCGCTCAGACATGAGGGATCCTCCCAAGAATTGCTAACAAGCACCAGTATTGGGGGCAGGTATTCAATGCCAAATTCTAGGGTCAGTCTCCACCAATAAAGAAGATGGACAAAGACACACCACTGTTGCATCACATTCTATAACACTGCTGACCCATCCCCCTGAGGTCCATGGGTTGGGGTCTGCTGGGGAGGTCAGAGGTACTGAAGGCTAGAATCTGAAAACAGAGACAACGATGAAGCTTTTCATTCAGGTACATGAAGATCTAAGAATATGTCATTCTCCAAAAGCAACAAGAGGGACTATGCATCCGATGAAGTGGGCTGTAGCCCACGAAAGCTGATGCTCTAATAAATTGGTTAGTCTCTAAGGTGCCACAAGTCCTCCTGTTCTTTTTGCCGATACAGACTAACACGGCTGCTCCTCTGAAACCAAAATCATCCGTGTGCGAAGCTAGAAAGCTGTGGTTGTAGAGACAGGAATGGATAGAGCAGACAGAACTCCACTTGTACAAGGAGCTTGTGACATGCTTGTGACACTATCACACGTACAGTGAGAACTAGATGGCACCAAAATGCTTCGCCAGTGAGCAGACAGCCCACCCATCAGTAAATTTGCTTTATATTAGAATAATTTTTGTCTGATTTCTGCCTCACATCTGAGGAGTTTCACAGCCTGCCTCCAAGATGATTGTTCACACTATTTTCTCTCTGCCTTTTTCAGATCTATTTCTACTCTTTTGAAGTGTTCCGTACAGCCAGGTTTGAAGACTATCTCATCCCCTACATATCACTAGGAGTTGGGACATGTGAATGCCTATCATCTATAGTGTGTGTAAGTCTCACCAAACTGGAGTTTGTAGGAAAAAGGGAATGTATTTAGAGACAGCATTTTTTTTTTAATGTGTAGCCTTGGCAGAGGGGAGTTAGGGGAGAGACTCACTCCGTTGTGTAAACTAATCAAGAAATTTCCTCCTACCTCTAAGTCACATGAAGCTGTGAAAGGCAGCCCTTCTCCCCAATTAACTTTGTATTGTTGAATGTCTTTGTACTCATTTTTACTCCGTGAAATGAGTTTCACATCATGCTTTAACCAATCATGATTTTGTACAGACAACTGCTTTGTGGATAGATAGGAAGAATAAAGGGCACAGTTCCAGTGGCCTCTAAAAGAGCAAAATAGTGGATTATGTGAAGCCATGTGAAATTTTGGATTGATACAAAATTGTGCAGTTTGACACAGATCTCCATGTAACAAAGAAATGTAGGTCATTTGCCAAGAAGCTGGTGCATGTCTGATCACTACCATTCTGGGTAAAAAGAGGTTATCACCTGCAGGGAATGGCTGTCAATTGGCTGTACACTTTCCCTATTCAGGTTTCAGAGTAGCAGCAGTGTTAGTCTGTATTCGCAAAAAGAAAAGGAGGACTTGTGGCACCTTAGAGACTAACCAATTTATTTGAGCATAAGCTTTCATGAGCTATACTCACGAAAGCTTATGCTCAAATTAATTGGTTAGTCTCTAAGGTGCCACAAGTCCTCCTTTTCTTTTTTCCCTATTCAGAGACAGAAAAAGTTACCAGCTCCCACAATGGAGGAGACTAAAGTCCATGAACTATTTTATCCCATCAATTTTTAAGGAATTGCAGTGGAGGCTCTGGGAGATATAAGCCCTTCATGAACACCTACTTTCTGCCTTAATTTCTGGGGTAAGCCTCAGGTTTGAACTACCTATGTGTTGAATTATGACTTTTTCTCATGACACAAGATAATACAATAATTATTCCTGTAAGTAGGGTAGATATATATAGCTCATGTCTGCACGCACTGCATTCTTGCCTAAAAATGGATTATCTCTAGACATCCAGGGATCAAGACTGATGTACAGCGATGAAAGTAAAATATACCTCTTCCCCATGGTTTTAAGGGAGAAATATTCAAGTAAAAAAATATTTCTGAATAAGTCAATAGGAGATGCTGAAGTAAAGCAGAATCAGTCCAACCATACTGTATAAATCTTTCTGGTCTAAACGTACAGTCCCCAGTACAAATGATAAACTGAAATATCAGTAAGATTTAGCTCATGTTTAGAGGGTCTCATCTGTTTGTATTAACTGAATAAGACTTCTGAGAAGAAGGTTAGGAGCATGGGAAGTAATCCATTCATTTGGAGTTGGAATTAATCATATTGGTAATGCTGTGTTTTCTGTTTTCCAGAGCTCCCTTATCGAGCGATTTGGCAGGAGGATGCTGTTGTGCGGAGGATATGTACTAATGATTTTCGTGTTAATACTCCTCACAATGACTCTCTCCCTGCAGGTAAGGAGATTTCCTAATCGGGACTTTTCCAGCATCAACCCCCATTTCTAATCTTTCCTCCTAGGCAAGATTTTTCGCAACAGAATAACCACCAAAGTGAACTTCATTCACCATGGTGGAAAGCAGGAAGCAGGGCCGGATTTCCAGTTAGGCATAGTAGGCACGTGCCTATGGGCGCTGGTGTTCTAGGAGCACCTAAACGTTAAAAGTGGGGCACAGTGAGCCACCAATGGGCAGGGCGGCTGCTGAAGGGGCTGGGAGCGTCCTAGCCCCTTTCCAATCTCAGCCACCCCACTGCCTCCGCCCCAAGCTGGGGAAGTAGAAGGAGGGGCGTGGCCGGTGCCCCATTCACTTGCATAGGCAGAACTGGAGCATGGCTACCACACTGAGTTGCGGGAGGGACAGAAAACACCCAGGGACCGCTTGCCATGGGGAGAGGTACAGTCCCCCTCTTGAGTCTTGCCTGGAGGGGGTGGGCTGCACCCTGGTTCGGGCTGGGAGCGCCATGTGTGGCGGAGGAAGGGGAGCTGAAGATGCTGTGCCTAGAGGCGCATAAGGTGTAAATCTGGCCCTGGCAGGGAGCATTCTATTCTACCATGTTGTTACAAAGTCTGCTCTCACTTTGCTTTCTCACTCTAGCATCAATTCTTTTGGATGCATTACTTCAGCGTCGTTCTGATCTTCTTGTTCGTTATCTGCTATGGAATTGGACCATGTGAGTACATCCACTTTAGATGATGGTGAGGAGGGAACTTTGCACCATACTACTCGAGTGCATCAGAATTGGTGGGTAAAGAATGGAACACCACTGTACCACCTCTAGAGAGCAGCAAGGGAAGGAGGTTTAGCTATCTGAATACATTAACAGAAGGAGACAATGTGTCTATAAATGGAAAAAGTGGAAAGAGCACATGAGCACCTCAAGTTTTACTGCTGATCTTTTACTGGCTCTTAACTCAGAATGTAATATCCTCCTCCCCCAAAAAAATCTGAGAATCAATCCCAGAGGAAGAACCCCAAAGTACTCTGCTACTAACACAATTCCCCCAACAGAACATTGATAAGTACATATTTAGTGATCACCTCCTTTGTTAAAATAGTGAACTGATGCACTTTCTGCCCATGGAGGAGCATCGATGGAAGAGGCCGCAAAACAGATGAGGGATGTGGATTAACAATTTATTGCACTGATGGTGCATACCAATAAAATATAAAACCACATAGATCACATAACATCAGAGGAAATATGCCAACTGTGCACTACAATCTAGCAGATTAAGAGGCTAATGTATACAAAGTTTAAAAATCTTTTTTCTCCCTCATGCCTCACAGCAGAAAGGGACGCTATATGCATCTCACAGATTAAATATCCCATTATTCATTTCAATTTGAAATTAACAAACTCAAGACTTTACATCACAATTTCCATCTATTCAGCTGAGTTAAGGCAGGGACCCTGTCAGAGTCCATCAGTACAGTTTCAAAATTCAGGACAGCTAGGTATAATAATAAATACATAGCTGTTATATAGTACTTGTCATCCATAAATCTCAAAGCACTATACAAAGGAGGTGAATATAATTTGTCCCCATTTTACAGATAAAGAAACTGAGGCACAGGGAAGCAAATTGAGTTCACCCAGCAAGTCAGTGGCAGAGGGTACGTCTGCACTGCAGTCAAAAAGTATGACTGCAACATGTGTAGCTATACCCAAGCTAGTTTTGATCTACTTAGTTGGCGGGGGGGGGGGTATGTACTTGAATGGCTAGCCCATGCTACCACCTGTGCTGTCACAGCAACACTGCTGTTGTCATTCAAGCTAGCTAGATGAAAGCTAGCTCGGGCGCATCTACACGTGCTGCAGAGTCACTCCTGACTGCAGTGTTCACATACCCTGAGTCCCAAGTCCCAGTCTAGTCCTCTGTCCACTAGCTCACACCTCCCTACAAGGCAACCCAACTCTTCCCTGAGTTTCTGCACACTGTCTGCAGCACTGCACTGCCAGGGTTCTGGGATTGGGAATCAAGTTCTTTTGTTGTAGTAGAGGACACTAACCACATAGATCACTGGGACAGACTTACTATAATTTTCTACTAGGCATTGTCAGTGTGAGGCCCTTTGCAGAAGCAAGTGAATTAAAGTTACTAAAGAAACATCTCTTCTCCAGCTGGAGCCACTGGAGCCATAATCACTGAAATCTTCAGCCAGTCATTCAGACCATCAGCCTTTCTGATTTATGGAAGCATCAGCTGGGTGTGGCTCTTTGTCCTTGGAATGATTTTTCCCTACATTGTGGTAAGTGATTCTGTGACCCAGCCTCTTTGGGATGCCATCTGGCTGAGGGCACAGGAGTACATAGATATAGTACAAAAGAATGCAGTGTAAGGACTCTAATGAAAGCCTGTGGCACACTGGTCGTCATCATGGCAACATGTGTGTATATATATACACAACATCTGTATAAGCAGTTCTATGTATATATACTGAAAATTATGTTCTTAAGATCTGTGACTAGGGACTGGACACTAGAAAGGTGAAAACCAGGTTTTCTTTTAGGCAAGAAATGTTTATCTATCTGTTGGTTTACATGTAAATTAAGTACTCTGCGGTTCACAGAGGTTCCCATTCATTTACAGTCTGAGCCAAATATTAAAGAAGAATTGTTAAATCCACAAGGAGGAGATTTACAGGAAGAAATGACCCAGCAGGGGAGAGGCCTGTTCAGAAGTAAGGACAGTGAACTTTTTGGGGTATGGGCAAGGAGGTACACCCTCATTCCTGCAATCTCTAAGGAGAAGCTGCCAGTGGGCTTGATCTTATGAGAGGTCTTCCCAGCCATATTGATTGAAAATGCTGGGGAAAATTCCAGGGCTAAGCTATCTTGTAGGACAGTGATCCCCAACCTTTCGTGTGGGAGTAGTATATGGCTATTCCCAGAAGACTGTGGCAGGTGCTAGACACCCCGCCGCCAAAATGCTGCCGCCGAAAAGCAGCAGCGAGAAGAAGCATCGCTGCCGAAATGCCGCTGAGAAATGGCAAAGCTTCCCGGCAGCATTTCAGCGGCAGGGTGTCCTGTGGGCGCACAAAAATGCCCCGGCAGGAGCCACGGCACCAGCGGGCACCACATTGGGGACCCCTGTTGTAGGAGATAGCAGAATGCCTTTGTTAGGGGGCTTATTCCTTCACCCACTTGCTTCCCTGGTCCTTCTCGCATGAACAGAGAGCAACAATACCCGAAGTCCAAAGGTGCAAACAATTCAATGTTTATTGGGGTGAACTTCCAGCAAGCATGATTCTAGTTTCCTTCCTTAGCGTCCCCCTTCCCAACTCTGACACCCCAGAGGCTTACCTGTGTCCCTGTTCCCATTTCCCCCTTTAGCTAAACATGATTCCAATTTTCCCCCCATGCACCCACCCACTCACTTCCTGATTGACTGCAGACTATATAGTAAAACTTGAGTTCTGCTTAGCTATACCTTAACCAATCATTTTACTGAAATTTAACTAACCAATCCTAACATCTTATAACTTGATTATTTAACCAATTATATCCCACCACCTTAATTAGTTTACACCCAGCAAAATTAATTATACAGCAGACAGGAACAATCACAGAACCAGACAGATTATACAGACAAACAATGGGGAAATGGGGACTACAGTGATAGAACAAACACAGAAATGAGGATTTCACATCCCAGCTATTGATAAGTGAGTTCTTGCCAGACAGGATGCTATCAAACTAAGTTTCCTTTTACATGTTCTAGGCACTCCCCTTTCTCTGGAGGCGATAGGCATTATCAGGACAGGATTGTATTCCTAATAGCCCAATGGCACCTTCTTTCAATGGGACTAGTTTGGAATGTGAGGATGTGACTGGTTGCTTCCCAGCTTATGGCTGCCTCTGCTGCTTAGCCAAAGCTCTTAGCCTAAGAACAGGGCCTCAGACTGTCACAGTAAGAGAAGGCCCTTACACCGGCAGACAGTGATTTTGATTCTCTTTTATACCTCTAGAACTAGCCAAGTGATAAGAATACACCTAAATTCTTAGCGTATAGGCCTTTACAGACAGGCTTGAATATCTATATCCTAACAGCCTTGTTAGTTAAGCTTAGGCTCCAGAAATTGTGTTATGATTTTGTTTTATATGTAACCATTTGTTTCCAATATTCTCACTCTCCATCACTTGACTCTGTTCTTTGATAAAAAACATTCTCGTTTTCACTATAGATATCTTAGCTGTGTGTTAAGTACAGTATGGCTCTTGAGTTGAGTCTTGCAAGCTGGGGTGTACTAATCTTTTGGATCGGAGACTTCTGTGAGTATTCAGTGGGACAGAGGCCAAGTACTCCAGAGGCAGGCTTGGAGGATTTAGGAGTTGGAGTGTGCCTATCGCGAACTCATACAGAGACAGCGAGGCCTGTGGAGACATGGAAGGCAGCACTTGTGCTGCCAGAGATTGGTGGTTTCAGGGAGCTGATCCACAGCAGGCCCAGATGAGACACTCATGACAAGAGCAGGTGGGATGAGTTGCCTCATAACTTTGGGAAGCATCACAGTTGGCAGGAAATTACACCCAGTTTGCTGATTAGCTAGGGATCATGCTCCGGGCATTTATTTACCAAATAAATAATAGTTACTGAGAGATTCACACCTGAGAAGATTGGGAAACAGGTAAAGAAAGGTTACGGTTTGTTATTTTGGGTAAGGGAAACAGAACAAAAGAAAATATAAAATGAGTAAGCGGATAAACAGAAAAGTGATCAGACTGATTGACCAAAAGGACCAAAGGGGGGTGCAGGCTTAGAAAACAATCCTGATGCAGCTCTCAGTGAAACAGCCCTGAAGCTGGAGTTTGCCAGGCTGGAGATGACTAAAGCGGAAAAGAAATGAGAGCACCAGAGGTGTGAAACTGCAGAGAGAGCCAAAGGAGCAAATAACACCCCACCAAAGAGCACTGGCGCTAAAAGACAAAGCATGAAGCCCAAGAAGCAGAAGCCCTTGGGGGGGAGGAGGAGGAAGACAGAGAGCCTATATGCCCTGATCATATTGAATTTACAAAAAAAAAAAAAAAAAATCATCCCTCATCGCATGGGGAATTCTCACCAGGGTTCACAAAACTGCAACAAGCTGTACCTGGGTTACAGAGAGACTGACTGCACTGAGGAATGTTTAACCACCTTCAAAAGAATATGCATGGTACATAGAATTCCAGATGAACAAAGAATGACTGTCTTACTCCCTGAATTGACTGGTAAAACTTTACAGGTATTTAATGATACAGAGGTTAATGAGGCTAAGAAGTATGTTCATAGAACCATAGAAATGTAGATTTGGAAAGGACCTCGTTAGGTCATCTAGTTCAGTCCCCTACACTAAAGCAGAACTAAGTATTATCTAGACCATCCCTGACAGGCATCAGTGCAAGGAGTCTGTTAAAAAGGTTTCACACTACTCCAGAGGCATTCAGAAACCTCAAAAGATTGATAAGTTACATCGAGGGGGAATATGTGCATAAAATGGCAGATTATGTGAGAAAATGGATAACAAGTGAAGGGGCAGACACCCATGACAAGTTGGTAGATCTGATCACTCAAGAGCAGCAGTTCTCAAACTATGGGGAGGACCTCCCAAGGGAGGTGCAGGAATGTGTCAAGGGAGGCATGAGCTGTGTGCTGATTTTTTGTTGTTTTTTTTTTTTTATTTAAAGAGCTCTGCCTGTTAGGCCTAAGCGGCTGGGGCTTGTGCGGAAGGGCCATGCGCTCCCGGGAGCTGGGAGAATGAGACAAAGGGGACAGCCAGAGCCCCACCACCTGGGGGCTGACAGCCAGAGCCCTGTCATCCAGGATCAGGCTCTTCTTCCCCCTCCTTCCCAATCCCTCACCAGGAGGCAGTCCAGGCTTGGGGTCTACTTCCTCCCTTCCCCCCACATCCCTCACCTGGAGCTGCAGGGCTCCAGCTGTCCGCCCCAGGGTGGCAGTAGCAGGGCAGAAGTAAGGATGGCAATGGGACCCTAAGTCTGCTTTGAAAAGTGATCTTGACAAATCACACTGCCACCCTTACTTCTGCCCTGCTGCTGGCACAGTGCTGCCTTCAGAGCTGGGTGCCCAGCCAGCAGCCTCTGCTCTCCACTCTCCCTTCAGAGCTGGGTGCCCAGCCAGCAGCCTCTGCTCTCCACTCTCCCTTCAGAGCTGGGCAGCGGCGTATGAAGGCGGGGCGCAATCAAATAAGTTGAGAACCCTGCTCAGGCCTGCTCTGAGGAAGGGCAAGCCATGGTGTAGGAGAAAAACTCCAGTATCAGTGAAGACAGCTGCCAAAGGTAACTTGTACATACAAGCGTGACTATTTGAGGAGCACAAATTCCAAAGGGAAAGGCAAAAACTTGGCATAAAAGGGGGTTCCCAGTTTGTCCCTGGGAATAGGAAGAGAGGTGAGGGAACTAAATCCACACCACCGCAGTTCCAGTCTCCTCCTAGTAACCCTAATTATTGGACCCCACCCCAAAGAAACATTATATATGTGGGTCCCTTGATCATATGAAAAGGCAGTGTCCTAAGTATGGGGGATCCCAATTCACTCCCTGATTTATTCGGGTTAATGCAGCTACACTGGAGTCAGAGACTTCAGTGGTGGCAGAGGGAGTTCTGGTTACCTTTGTCAGGTCTGACCTCCTGAGGGGTAGAATAGTTTATAACAATGGCCAAACATAAATGGTGGAGCGTGCCAGAGGTGGCAAGACACTGGTGCTCAGCTTTTCCTGGTCGGGGGGATGTGATTCAGGAGAATGATATGCTCCCGGGTGGGAAGGTAAAACTACTATCTTTAAGACAATTTAAAACCACAGTACCTTTGGCCTGCATCAGATTGGAATGGAAAGGCTTACGGGGTACTTGAAAGTAGGAATTTTAAAAAATTTACCAGCAGCTGTGTTGGTTGAGAATTATGCAATATCACTGCCCAAAGCTGTCAGTATTGTGACCCATAAAAGGAGAATATGTCCCTGAGTTCACAGAGGTAACCTCTGAGGAGAGAAAGGGAGCTGAGAGGGGAAGAAAAGCCTCAGTCCCCTTATCAGCAGAGAATATCAATGTGTCCCAAGAGAAAGGGGAGAAGCTGCTGGTGACAGCTCTCTAAGCAAGCCACAGCCAAAGTGAGTTTGCTGTGGAGCACAATGCGGACACCTCTCAAGAGAGCATCAGAGAAGCCATTCACAGTACGGCCCCAGATAGGGAGAACAGGGCTAGGTTCTTTACAGAAGAGAAGCTAAACTGTACTGGAAGGCTCTGGTGGGGAAAAATAGAATACAAAAAATACAGACAATTGCTTTTGACCTCAAAGCATCATGTGGAGTTAATATTATTAGTCCACAACTGTCCTTGTGCAGGACACTTGGGAACAGAGGACATATGAAAGGTTTGAGGAAAAAAATTGTATTGTTTTAATGTTCAAAATGAGGTAAAGGATGACGGCAGGACTGGTGATTTATGTCAGAAGCAGAAAAAGCCTGTAGGATACCACAAAGCTCCCTTGCCAATAATCAAGGAAGCATTTTACTGGGTTGCCATGGACATTAAAGGACCCTTATCCAAGCCAAAACAGAGAGGGGGAAAATATATTGGTAGTAGTAGATTTCACCACTAGGTATCCAGATGCAGTTCCTGTAATATAGAAGCTGAAACAGTGCATAGAATATTTAATATAGAATCACTATATTTAGCACTGTAGCAGATTTCCCAAAGGAAATCTTGTTAGATTGTGGGTCAAATATCATGTCCCACTTATTTAGTGAGTTATGGAAGATGTGTGGGCTAAACCAATTAAGATCTGCTCCATATCATCCAGAGAAATAGATTAGATGAAAGATTTTAGAGCCCCATTGAACCTATTTAGAAATATATTTTAAAAGAAGGGAGAGGAACTGGGATGTAATGTTACTTTATCTGTTGTTCACCTACTTGGAGGTGCCCCAAGAGTCCAAATGGGGTGAACCCTGTGATCTCCTATATGGGTGAAAAGCCAGAAGGCCCCCTGGATCTCAGAGGCTCCTGGAAGGGTGGCTCTGAGGCAGAGGCTGAATATGTGCAAAAGTTTAGGGACGATTTAAAGATAATGATAGGAATGGTTCAACAAAGTTTCACAAAAAGCCACACTGCTCAGAAAACATAGTGAGCAATCATTTGATGTGGGGGACTTGGTGCTGGTATTACTCCCTGTGAAAAGTTACAAATCCAGAACACGTGGAAGGGGCTTTTGGGGGTGCTGGAGAGGGTTAATGGTGTTACCTACAATATACTTGGGCCCCACAGCAAGGCTGCTGCACAGACCGTGCATGTAACAAGTTCAAAGTGTAGCAACTGAGAAGCCATTATAAACATGCCATGCTGTTCAGGGGCAGATTCTCAGATTGCCCCTCTCATTGACTTGATGATTGAGTACTATAGTAACACCTCAGTAGAGAGCACTGAGGTGTGTGAAGAGAACCTAGCTGAAAGGGCAAAGGTTATGAGCGTGTTCCAGAGTCACTGGCAGGTATTTTCCAGTGGGCCAGGTATGACTCAAAGTGCTCCATAAGACTCACACTGTGTAGCCACTGCCTGCCCCCAGCAGAGCATATCAGACCACTAGAAAAATGCAGGAGAGAATCCATAAGGAGATAAAAAGCATGCTGAACATGGGGATAATTAAAGGGTCAAACAGTCTCTGGATTTCTCCAGTTGTTATGGTTCCCAAAAAGGATGTGACCATAAGTTTGTGTTGATTACAGAAGGTTTAACACCATCATAGTTCCTGTGCACATTCTGTGCCCAGAATTGATGAACGTTAGGCGCTCTAGGCAAGGCAAAATATTTAGGAATTCTATACCTAACAAAAGAATATTAACAAATCCCAGTAGATAATGAAATGCATAACAAAGTCCACCTTCATTAGTGATTTGGGACTCTGTTTTATTTTAGAATTAAGAATTTCTCTCATTCCTAAAATATAAACCTACGCTGAAGAGATAAGGGAATAAGAGTCAGAAGGGTATTTTTCTTACAATCTTCTCTTATTTCTGTTTTTAGGAAAGCCTTGGATCTTTCTGCTACCTTATATTTCTGGGGATCCTTGTGTTCTCATCAGTCTTCACCTACCTGTTTCTCCCGGAGACAAAGGGGAAGTCAATCATGGAAATTAAAGGGGAATTTAATAAGTTAAATTTTGGAAAGAAACAAGCGGTGAACACAGAAAATAATTTATCTAAGGAACACACTTTCTGCACCAGACTCTGACTGCTCAGATGGGAAATGTTACGTATTAGAGGGACAGGAAGCACTGTTGCAATCAGACTGAAATATAATCCTAAAATGGACTGTTAGCTTTACTGTCTTATTCTTATTTTCATAAAATTATACAGACATGAAATTCCTCATGCTTAAGTCTTATTTTCCCCCAGATAGTCAAACATTTTCAAGGTTACTTAGGTGACTCAATTTGAACTAGTCAGTCTTGCACCAAGATTCACTAGCACAAGGGCTATACTTAATCAGTTTCCCCTATTCCTGAGGGTCTTTCATATTGCAACAAAGGAAAGATTTTACAAGAAACAGGAAATTGAACTGTAAAAATAAAAATCACAGGTGGGGGGGGACTTAAGCAGGTAAAGTACCTGTATTTATTTTGGTTGACTAGATTTCAGGTTGATTATGGCCCTGATCCAAAGCCGATTGAAGTCAATGGGATCAGAATCTAGGTCTCTTTTCTTGAGAAAGAAAACAAGACTGGATGTTTAGGAAGCAACGAAGACCTTGTAAAATAGCTATTGATAAAGAGGTGGTAAAAGCTTGCTAAAAAAGCATCATTGTAAACAGTTCAGCCAGACTGGATGACCCACATCAAGGGAATTAATTTAGTGTCCTTACCAAGGAAGTGAAATGATCATGGAAAGTCATGGAAAAATTGGATTAATTTACAGAAGATTGGGAAGAAAGCAAATGTTGTACCAGTCTTCAAACAAGAAAAGAGACGTGACCATTACTATCTAGTAAGTCTAACTTCTGTCTCTAGAGCCCTGATGGTGTCGCTAGAGTAGATATGGGGACAGAGTAGGCAACAAGGTTTGCTACAAGGATTGTTACCTGGGTTAGTGTTTCTGTGGTGTGGTGTGTAGTTGCTGGTGAGTATTTGCTTCAGGTTGGGGGGCTGCCTGTAAGCGAGGACTGGCCTGCCTCCCAAGGTCTGTGAAAGTGAGGGATCATTTTCCAGGATAGGTTGCAGATCGGTGACAACGTGCTGGAGAGGTTTTAGCTGGGGGCTGTACGTGATGGCCAGTAGTGTTCTGTTATTTTCCTTGTTGGGCCTGTCCTGCAGTAGGCGATTTCTGGGTACCCATCTCACTCTGTCAGTCTGTTTCCTCACTTCCCCAGGTGGGTATTGTAGTTTTAAGAATGCTTGAAAAGATCTTGTATTATTTAAGGATCTGCTTTCTTAGTACACAAGGCTTCTGAGAATTACACCAGATGTTTTCTGAGAGGTGAAAGTTTGTTAGAGGATTGTTTTTATATAAATAGTTTGTAAATGGCTGTTTATTGAACCAAGTAAAATGGTTTATTGGCCCTAATGTTTGTAAAATGGTTTATTGAACCAAGTAGAAACTTAGATTATAAAACTGGGTGGAAGTATTGTCTTCATCTTTCCAAACCATCTCAAACTGTATACAGTAGAATTTATGACTCAGAACTAGACGATCACATAGTCTTCCTTCAACAATTCATGAAAGAAGAAAAAAATCAAGTGGACCTATCAATATAATAAACTGCTATTTCAGTCAGCACTGGTTTATTGCCAGTATGGACAAAGCATCTCTCTTGGGTTTTTGTTTGGTTGGCCTCTTTTAATGTTTTTGAGACAAAGAGTCTGCTCCTGCAGGCCTTATTTATACAAGTAGCCATTCATGTGAGATTTCCCATTGATTTCAGTGGTAGTAACATATGAGTAAAGACTACTCATGAATATAGGCTACAGGATTAGACCCCAAGTATACAGCAGTATTGTCTCTTCTGATTTTTTGAGAGGTGAGAGAATCCACTTCAAGTTAAAAAATCAAAAGCCAGTTGTGAATTGAATTAAGGAGTTTGCACCAGTTTAAGTAAATACATTTAAACTAAACTGGTGCAACAGCTGTGTTTAGGCAGGGCTGTAAGCAAGCTCTTTCTTTCTTCCAGCAGTTGGGGAATGTTGCTTCTAATTTACTAGACACCTACTAACCAAAGGTTGATCCACCCTTTTATTTACATTTTATTGATTTCTTTTCTTCCCCACCCTGAAAAAATAAGGAAAGAACAGACAAAAAGGGCAGAACAGAAAGGTAAAGGAAGGGAAGGAAAAGGAGAACCTCTCCATTTCCATCTGCTCACTTTAAGCTCTTTTAGCTACCTCTATTATATTTAAAATTTAGTCTGGGAAATATTCCAAGCCCTGCCTGTTCTGGGGTATCTTACAGGGAGCACTAGAAAGCAACAAGTATACTCAGTAGCTACTAGCAAAAAAATAGTGTGAACTCTGGGCCTTAGAAAGAAAATACTTACTGTTTGCAATACCAAAGAGTCAGAAGGAGATACCATAAACACCCACAGCCAAGGGATTAGAAGGACAAAGACTACGACTTAGTCACTTACTACCCCTGAAAACTGAATAGAGGCTTTTTCCTCTACTCCACTGAGCACACAAGTATCCTCTCTTCTCCATCCCAGTGTGAAGGCTTTGTCGAACTCTTGGATGATAGATCTTAAGACCTTGCCTCCCTCTCAACTCCCAGAGACCTGAATCAAGCCAGGTGATTGGGCAGAAAGCAGAGGTGGATAAAGCAAAACTTTCCAGCTTCAGGTCCGGTAAAAATGTAGGTGGTCTTAGGAGTGCATGTCACCACACACTAAATGTACAGTCCTGCCTTCCCTTAATTGTAGTAATAGTACATTTGTATTATGCCTTTCAACTCAAAGGATTTTAAAGAGTTACACACATACTCATTCCCATCCACCACTGAAATGCAGCCACCTCTGATATGACCTGCGATAAACCACAGCAATTCTCAGAATAGGAAAACCTTATCGTGCAGCAGCCCAAGTCATCCAAAAACCTGACTTGGACAAAGTTCGTTGTGTGCTCTGACTATTAGACAAGCTGCAGATCTACCCTTAAAAATGCTAGGTTCATTTATTTTCATTTGAAAATGAAAAGTGGCCTCCCACGTACATCCTTGTAAATAACACCAACCCAGCCCATTACTTTGACAAATTCTCTTGTGGCTCCAACATAAGCAGCCAATTGCATCATCTTGTTGGGGACACTGGGCATGGCCACTAGGTAACTCGAGGGGATGGAAGACCACGAGTGTCGATGAAGCCCCCTCGCACTAGGCCCAAGTACCTTGGCCCCCTACTCACCTGAAGGCACTCGCAGCAGTTATGCATACTAGGCCCAAGTGTCTTTGGCCCCCCGGCCTGGAGGCACTCGCAGCAGTTATGCTGAGGATCTGCAACAATATGTTGCAGAGTCAGACTGCCTGAAACTAAACAAGGCCAAACAGGGCAGATATGGAAGAACAATGCTGAATAAAGCAGCTTTATGTATGGTTTAACAGATGGTACAGAGAACAAGGGAACTAGCTGGTAACTGGATTGGCTGGCTATATGGATACTTAGGGCAGCTTGCTATTGGATAAGTATGCTGAAGAAAGGATGTATAAAAGCCTGTGTAACTTCCTGCTTGGTGTGCAGGATTTGAGATTCTATTCTCCCTGTACCTTGTTTGCAGCTGCAAATAAACTTTTCTGCTTCTCCACCCCGTTGTGATTATTGAGTGACGCATAGCGGGTAACGAACCCCTGCTGTTGTTCGCCTCTGGCACTGGGTGCCAGCAACAATCTATTACACTTCAGGATGAATGGATACAGCTAATTAGGTATGGGCATACAAACTATACGAGAACTGTATTCGCTTATCAGACAACAACATTTGTGATAAAGGCTATCTTTGAAGTAGTCCCTCCAACATCTTTTTCTTCCTAGTCTGAGAACACAAAGGAACACTTTAGGAGAGGAATTGAGGAATAACATATCCAACTAAAATTGCTGGGGTCATTTAGGTAGGTACTATGCAGTTACTCTGAAGTTACAACCTGGAGGATTGGTTCAGTTCCAGTTCAGAGAGCAAAGTGCCTCTTACTGAACCATCAGTACTACTTTCCACAGCATCTAAGTGTTCCTTAGACTTCCAAAGAGTCTCCCGAATTATGCTTAACTTGTGACAGGTGAAAAGATCACAACTCACATAGCCAGGTATATACAGAGCTATTGGTAGAGAGATTCTGGTATACATTTACTTGAAATTTCTATTATTCTGAAGACTGGGAATGCCCCATGAGACTGACTACCCTGATACGGAATGGCTCCTGGAACACTTCAGGCAATCCACTGCCACCTGGGGCACAGGCCCACCCCCCCACTGAGCAGGTCACTTACCTGAAATGTAACCCAATTGTGAGAGTCTCTCCAGCTATCTGATCCAGCCTCATGGCATCTTGCAGCATCCCTGAAGATAAGACAGTGTGCTCAGGACTGGGCCCTGTAACGCTGTCTCTCAGGGGATCTGGCTCCTCAGAGAGGACAGGAGAGGGTGATCTTCTCACTGTCCCCTCAGCCACCCAACTAGGCCCCAACTCCTTAGGTGTGACTAGGTAAGGGATCTTCTCACAATTAATAGCAGAGAAGAGACTGAGGGGATATTGAGATGTGGGGGGCCCTGCTCACCAGTGGTGACTTGGAGGGCACCCTTGGGGGGGGGCAGCACTTCTCTGCTCTGGGAAAGGTCACTAGCTGCTCCAGATGAGATGGAAAGTCATTGATTTTTCTCATGCTACCTTTCCCCCCCCCCCCCATTTCCCTCCCCTCAGTCCCAGCAGCCTGGAAGTGCGGGGTGGGGGCGGTTGTCTAGCTCAGTTCTAGACAGCCCATGGTGGAAGGAGGAGAGCAGGGTCTCTTTCCACAAGCAGGTCCTTCATCCCAGAAGTGGGAGGAGGAATTAATGACCACCCCTCAGGGGACAGTTCGACATTTCACTGGTGCTTCCTTAATCCCACCTTTTCCTTTGCCACAGGCCAGGCGGCCTGGAGGGATGTCTCTCTCTGGCTCAGTTAAAAATGGCACAGCAGGAGAGTCACTCTCTTGCCAGGTGGACCATGGTGGGGGTTTTTCCTCCCAAAGCGGAGCCTCAGTCCAGGAAGGAGATCACTAATTGCCTCCCCTCAGGAAGCAGCTTGACTGTTCACCAGTGCTGCATTCTGTCCCCTCCCCATCCCAGTCCTCTTTCCCTTGCCTCAGCCTAGGGTCCCCAATGTAGGCCTTGCTGGAGCCCTAGGGATAGCTAAAAGTATGAACCAAAGTAGGCCTTGGCAGAATACTAACACACTAGGTATCAGCTACCCAAGTAAGCACATTCCTGACCTGAATGGATGGTACACTGCACCCTGAACTCTCAAGTAACCACATCAACAAATTCCTAGAGAGTACAGGAACACACAGATCCCTTGTAAAATAAGAAAGAAATGACAGGATAATAGATGAAGATTGAACTAGCAGATACAAGGAGGGTAGCTAACATATGGAATGGAATACATAACTTGTTTGTATCAATATATGAAAGGAGAGTGGAAGGAGGGGCATCTTTGTATTGGCCTAGGGGATGATATCATGTTGAGCGAGCTAATACCTTGTTGCAGGCATACATGTGTTAATACCCTGTAACCACTGAGCCGGGCACTAGGACTGTGCCTTGTCGAAAACAAACCTGGCTGAGCCTTCGCCACCAAACCGAGCCTGTGGTCTTTCGTTATGAGCAACGTCACGGGCTGCTGAATCCACAAGCTACACTCTCTGCTAGTGCAGAACACACAGGAGCTCCAAAAACAGCAGCCCTAACACCACCCCCTTTCAGACAGTCTCCTCCCAGCTTTCTGCAGACCATGCCAATTTACTGATCTCCAACACAAAGACTCCCAGCAGGCACCAAGCACCACTGGTCTTGTAGGAGGAACCTTTTGGGTGCCAGCAGTCAGGAAACTGTGGGATAAGGAGAAACTAGAGCTGTATGCTTCCCCCCCTCCCTCCCCCCCCCGCACACAGCTGGCTTTTCCAGGCCCTATGCCCTGACTGAAGGCAATGGGGGGCCCTTTGTGCCCAGAGGGGTTACAGGGGCCTAGATCCACCATTACTCTTATTATTTCTCCTCAGGAAATAATTAATTCAATTTTTCTCCTATTGGGACCCCAAAACCTGCCTTGTATCCGAACCACACACACTTCACCTCAAATGCCCTCCTGCCCACATACCCTATCCCCCTCAATAACCTTACTGGTGAACATTCAAGTGGACAGCAACCCTTGTTAGGGACAAAAGTCACACTGGCCCAATTTTTCCACCCATACAGTGCTGTGTAGTACCTTACACTATGAGTATTCACATTGATTTCTCATCCTGTTGACTACAGTGGGACCACTTGTAGCATACAGCATGAAGAACAAGAACTCAGAGACTAGTCCTTTTCTTTAAGCTTCGCAAATGTAGTACTGGTGAAAGAGGAAGTTATAAGGCCTGATTTAAAATCCATTGATGTTAATAGGAGTCTTTCCACTGACTTTAGGCCAGGCCCACATAACATAAGGAGCATTTGCTATTTTCTCATATTCTATTCCATGTAAAGTGCTCCCAGAACACACAGTTATGGAGAGTTTCTACATTTGTTGTTATACTTAACATTGCAAAACAGTTCTTATTATAACCCCCTATTCTTATATACTTGTAACTTTCTGAAACATTCACTTTTTAAATATTTTTCATGATTGGCCTGTATCCAAAAATGAATTATTGTTTAAACATTAAACAAAATCTGTTTTTGTTTGTTATGAGTGAAAAATACACATTTTCCCCACTGTAATATATTTACAGTTCCTACTTGCATTAACATTAAGGCCAGCAGGTGGCTTAGCCAGCCTCCTTCCTCTCTACTAACCCCAACAGGTGAGCCTGAGTGGGCGGTGGGGCAGGAACTGCTGACTATCAGGAGATCCTAATTAATTATTATGCATTTGTGGGGCTTTTTATAGGAGAGTGAGCAGCATAACAGGTATACTGTGAAACAGCACAGGGAGTAGTAGTTTCAGTGAGGATTTTAACAAAGGCTAGAAAAAGGCTCTCTTGTAATCAAAAGATACCTAAATTCATTATTAACACAAATGTGAGCAAGAATAAAGTGCCAAATTGCTTGATAGAAGAGCTCACCCATCAACTACCAAAAGCGTTGGGTAAACCTGCACAGGTAAGCAGAAAAGGTTCAAACAATTACTGTATTTATAATCTAGGCACAATATAGTATATGCTAAGGTCTTAATCCAGAAAAGAACACATGGAAATACATCTATTGTTACTTCACTGAATTCCTGAAAAATTTAACTGTATTTAGAACCTTCTATTTGCGTGTGCAAACACACACACACCCCTAAAATAATTCCAGGCCTGAACAGCCTGTGTATAACATTTAAGATGACTCATAAGAAAAGAGAATAATTCACTTGATGTGGAAACCATAACAACTTCCTGACTTTGTGTTCAGGTTCCCTTTTAATGTAGGTTTTTCTACAACCAATATACATACTGCATATGAAGTCCTGAGATCTGGTTTGTAGTCCCAACTCTGCCATGAACTTTCCTGACCTTTTGGCATTAAATGCTCAACCATTATGTTGCACTGACCTGAAATTTTGCATTGAATTTGTTTTTAATCAAGAAAAATTGACTGTCTACAAATTCAGATAAATGGACTCCAATGTGTAAATCAAATCAACTTATATGCCACTGTTGAAGTCAACAGAATTATCCCTACTAATTCTGGATTTGGCCCAGTGTCTTTATGTGAATCTTTCCATGTGTATAGGATGACAATTGAAATAAATGTAATATGTTTCCATGGGCTAGATTCTCATCTTGGCAAGCCAAGAATAAGAATTATTCACATCTGACAGTCCACTGTGTGAAGTTCCAGGTGCATACTCACTGCAATTTTCTGAATGTATCAATGTGCTTTCTGAATGTGACTTTTCCAGCAATATTTTCAAAACACATCTATTATTTCTAAACCAAAAAGACCAAAATCAGTTGTGGTGTAAGTGGGTGCAAACATGGAGCTGAACCTGTTGTACATCAGGGCTAGATTTAAGCCAATATTTTCAGAAGCATTTCTCCACTTTCTAGGATTAAGTCCATGGCAAATCTAAAGTTTTAAAGAGAAACCATTTTTCAGTTAACTGAGCAGGAAAAACAGCATCTAATGTTTCTTAGAACATGCAAACATCCTTTTCACATTTTTATAACACAAACGGATTTAGTTTGAGACTAAGAATTAAAGAAAATTTAGTTTGGGACTAAGAACTAGCATGTAAATGTCAACTGAAAAAGCAATATCAAACACCTACTTGAATAATGTCCTGATTTGGAAGAGGGGTAAGATGCTGATTTCAGTAATGTCAAAAAAGGATGGGGAAACAAGAAATATGATCTTAAATATAAATAGGCAATTAAACCATGTTAAATGTCAGCTTTCGGATTAAAGTTTAGCTTTTCCCTGAAAAGTGACTTTGTAACAATGGAATCATGGGGCTAATATTCAGTGTGTGTGACTCCATGTGAGATTTCCTAAGTTCAGTCATTTTTCCAACTAACAGCCCAGCAAACTCAACTTGGACTTCAAGTCAAACTGAGCTCTCCTTCTCACACA